AGGCAGTGAGTTTGCATTTCTTAGTGAGATGTCTAAACCATTCCATATATCTGCGCTAAAGTTAACTGACGACCAATGACCCCATCTTCTTGTGGCACTGGATTTTCGAACGTCATTTCTCGATCTTGTGTTGTAACCATGAAAGTCACGATTAAATGTGACAGGAATAATATTACATGAATGGTTGTTAATTAATTTATACATAAAGATGGCATGGTGTTCCTTTCTACGACGCGGTAATGGTTTCCAGCCAAGTCTCTTTAGGGCCTCAGTTGCGGAGAAATAAACAGGTAAGTCTAAAATGAGGCGAGCAGCCTTATTCTGCAACACTTGCAGCTCAGACACTAAGGACGCATTTCCGCGATCTCCCCAAATGATATCCCCATAGTCAAAAATAGGTAAAATGAAACTATTGAAAAACATAATTCTAGTATTGAGGGGGAGGCAAGATTTAATACGCCTTAAAAGACCTAATTTTCTACTGACCTTACTACGAATTTAATCAATGTGGTCGGTCCAGGAGAAGCGGTTATTAATCACAATGCCTAGATAAGTAAAAGAATCTACGTTATCAAGAGGGGTCTCATCAGCCGAAATAAGTAGGGATTCAACTTTATTCAAGCGGGAACTACTACCGATAAGCAAAAATTTGGATTTTTGAACATTCAGAGTCAGTTGGTTTGCCCGAAGCCACCCACATATACGTTTTAAGTCGGCGTTAATCTTACTTTGTAAGTCTACAGTAGATTTGGAAGCGAGATATAAAACAGTGTCATCTGCATATAAAGTAACCTGACAGAATTGCAAAACATCAGGTGGATCATTCGTGTAAATTATAAATAAAAGCGGGCCCAATATAGAGCCTTGAGCAACGCCAATCGATACAGCAGCAGCTTTGGAACAAGCATAGTCACAGCTAGTCATTTATGTTCTGTTTGTTTGTTTGTTTGTTTGCTTTGCCAACATCATCAACACCGTAAGTCAAGTTGAGAGCTTCTGGAGCAGTATTGAATTATTGACAGTGTCAAACGGTTTGGCGAGGTCTAAAAAAACAGCACCGATCAGGCAACCATTGTCCATGGAGTAAAGGATTTGATCAGAAAGCTGAGTGGCGGCAGTAATAGTAGATGACTTCAATCCAAATCCAAACTGGTCGGGTGAAATTAAATTATTCTCAGTAAGATGTGCATAAAACTGAGCATGTACCGCCTTCTCTAAAATCTTGCTTACAGTCGGGAGAATGGAAATTGGCCTGTAATTAGAAGCATTCTGTTTATCACCCTTTTTAAACAAGGATAAAACCTTTGCTGTTTTCCATATCGAAGGAAATGTTCTTGTTTGAAGGGATAAATTAAATAAGGCCGTAAGAGAAGGAGTAATAACGTCCACAGCATCTTTTAAAAGACGCGCGCTAATTTTGTCGAGACCAACGGCCTTATTAGTTTTCAATGAACTGATGGATCTTGCGACAAAATCTTCACTAATCGGTTGAAACGTAAAAGTCGAGTGGCAGGCCGTGGCTTTAGTTATGTACGGTTCGGGAACGATTTTTTCCGCAAGGGATTTACCCACGTTCACGAAATATGAATTAAGAGTCGAGGCAATAGATTGAGCTGAGGTGAGAAGGACACCATCAGCTAACAAACTGGTAATCCTGGAGGAAGTTTTAGACGAAGGTAGAGTTTGTTTTAAAGCTTTCCAGAAGTCTTTAGAGCTTGATTTACTGCCGTTAATTATTAGGTTAGTGTAACAATCAGATTTGGCTTTCTTGATACTGTGGGTTACCTTGTTCCCCAATTCACGGTACAGACGCCAGCGAGTGTTGTCTTTATTCCCCTTGGCTTTTTTCAGATGGTGATTAAGCAGAGAATTGCATAAATGATAAGCACGATAGCGTGACCAGCGTATGTGATTAAATTCATTCCAGAAACCACTTCCACGGTGGAAGTGGTTCTGTGTAAACAATTAGCACCTCGCTAGTCAGGAGCTAGATCCCTAACAGACACATAAATAAAGTTTCATCATCATCATCATCATCATGATGGTAGCGATCAGGTGGTCCCATTATACTAAACGAAAGTCGGTAGACCGAGATATTTAAGGTATTAAGAAACTGAACCGTGCTGATATTTTCCAAGTGATATCCAAATGTAGTTCTGGTCAAAAAGAGAGGACATATTACTCATCATAAAGCAAATCTATACGAACCTGTAGAGGCTAGATAGACGCCTTTATTTAGAAAATGCAAATGAGCAAAATATACATGTAACACTTAGTGTAGTGTATTCAGGGAGTCTGCAGAGCATCTCTACTATCAACAGGTCCTACTTCCAGTCCATGAATATGTCTACTTTGTAAATATCATCCTTCACTGCTTCAGATTTCTTTGATAACACATATGAAGAGGAGACTTATACGGCATAGGACATCCCTTGATTTTTCATTTTGAGTTCAAATGGTTCGAAAGGGAAACTGTATCTCATTTTGAGCACTTTTGAGTGAATAAACAGAACGCTGCGAAAATATCACTCTGGAAAATCAGCTGCACGAGGACAAAGATATTCAATCGTAGTAAAACTGAGGAATATTCAATTTAGTTCATGAGACCCCGATGGTACTGCAAGTATTGGCTTATTTTATCAATTTCGTTACAACCGTCATTATGCGTGCGGGATTTATCAGTACTGATGATGGACAAAAAAAAGAAGCAAAATTCCTCAACAACTGCAAAAAAATAAGAATCATGAAATAACAAATAATAAACTCAGTTACAGTAAGACGTTAGTCAAGAAGTTGAAACTTCTTTGTTAAGAATACTTTGTTAGAATTAAATTTATGTTGGGATTTCCAAAAACCGGTGTTGAAGTAATTCGTCCGCCCATGGTCGTTCCTTGGGATCCCTACAAAAAAAATTGAGTCAGTAGCCACTTACGTAAGACGTCATCACGTCGCAAATTCGTGATGAAAGGAACCTGGGCATGACTAGCATTCTCGCAAGCTGGATAACGTTAATAGATATTTTGACCAAAATTTCATTCCGACGGCAAACGCGTAAAGCTAATACACAGTTCCAGTCATTCAAATTCTCTATCGCACCATTAAATAACGGTAACTATTTCTTCTTTTAGCGCAATTAAATGTAACAGATCTAGCCTCACAAAGACGGGAGCCATAAACAAGCTCCTGATATCGATTTATACCGTTCTGATTCGTTCAAATTAATACAAACCAAGTCAATGTGGCCGCAATAAAATCCCTTCCATCCTGTGATACATCCTCTGGCAGTGTTGGCTCTGTTGGTTCAGATCCAATACTAAACATGGCCGCTACCGGCTCAAGGTGACCCAGAGGAGGACTTCCGGTCAACATTTCCACGACCGTACAACCAACACTCCTTTATAAAAGATGAACAACACTTTCTTTGAACAGAAATACGACAAGAGCATAAAAAACGAATAGGAACCAATGCCAACAAATTTCTCACTTTGGGAATCTAATATTTCTCTTGTTAAAGGTGGCCGAGCGAGTTGAGGGGCGAAAACGGTGGGGTTAATTTTCCAGATTCTTTACTATCTTTTAGTCTCTTACCAAGTTTTCTCCACCCGCCTTTTCGACAATCTCAGAAATATAAATAAACGAAACAAATTCTGCGACTGACTTTCAAACCTACCAAATGTCAACTTTCCTTCCATATCCTTTTCCCCAAAATATTTCTGGTGCCATCCAGTGAGGAGTGCCACAGTGAGAAACAAAATTGGTTTTGCTTCCGATTTTCTGAAATAAAAAAAAAGCGAAATTTCGATAACGAGTATAAATACTTTATACTAAGTTGCATGAGGAGAGCATCATTTAGTAAAATACCACTTCAGTTTTAAATTCTTTCTCAACGGACCCGAGTAAAAATAACAATTGAACAGTTATTTCATGTGTCTGAGGAAAGCCAACTTCCCACTTATTCGAACCAGTGAGGAATTGACTGACTGACTGATAGAGATGTATTTGCTGCATCATTATTCAGAGGTTACGTACTTCTATATTCTATTTCTCCAGTTTTCAAAATTTGAAGTTTGCTTGAATTTTTAATCTCCTGTTGAATAATTCTTACGGCATACCGCGTGTAGAACCACTGTTTACAACGTTTTCAGTCACTGGAAGGGTCTTCATTAACTTAAAACGTCTGCATCTTACCTGAATTAATTTTGATAAACCAAAGTCAGCCAGTTTTATGTCCTCGCGGATATCAATAAGAACGTTTGATCCTTTGCGAAAAAAAGCGTAAGTTCAGGGTTGCTTTACAACAGCCATATTCCCATAATCATTAAAAAAAAGCACTGAAAATGATATACCCCGGTAACGAAATAATCAGTAATTGTTCCATGGGTGCCTGGTCCTTTCTATAGGGAGAAAATGGATGCAATGCGATCGAAAATTTAACGAAAAAAAGACATTTTCAAAGATTTTGTGGCAATTTGCTATTTCCATAATCAACGATAGGAAGACTTCGTGCCGAAAAAATATAGTTTGTCCAGAACGAAAATTTTTCTCGGATCTGAATTAACTTCTAGAAAACCTCTCTCATCCTTAATGCTATTATGGATGTGGATTAACGATACCTTTAATGTCTCTGTGAATGACATTTTCTGAATGCAGGAACGACACTCCTTCCAACATTTGTCTTGTGAAATTTCTTGATTCACATTCATCGAGAAACTTCCTCTCCTTTATGTAATCATACAATGATCCCTGCCAATGATTTGAAACGGTGTTTGAAATAGTTTTGGTTGTAGGTAGCTAATCTATTTCCATTTGGGGTTATCTTAAAGACTGACAAAATCGGAAAAATGACGAAGTCGAGAATGAATCAAGTATCGAATCAGATAATTTTATTTGCTTCAGGAAAGTCTTATCAACAACCTAAATTATCGTAAGACTAAATTTTATGGATTCAACCGGCTTTCATTTCGCTTTCTAACAGTAATACAACTTAGGAAGAAACAAGGATCAATCTTGACAAACTTCCAACCAAAATTAGAAACTTGCTTGAAAATACGTTTCCACCCAAAAAAGACCAGTGAGCATATTTGTCCACTAACACTAAAGAAACTAAACAAAAGCATTACTCCGAGCGAGGCTTCCGTCTTCAGTGGATAGCGCTGGCTGACCTATTAGTTGAAACTTGATTTCTCTTCAAAATTTGACTTAATTCTGTTGATTTCATCAACCTACCCTTTCCATGAATTCCATAAATAAATGGAGATAATTTTCTTTCTCTTCACTGCCATAGTAAGTCAAGATTCGTCTATGTTCAAGTTTGCTCAAAATGCTGATTTCGTTTTTCAGAACATCCACCTCCTGACAAAAATAAGGGAAAAATCACTGAATTACGCTTATTTCCAATAAATGTGCTTATTTCTTTGGAGGCATTATTAAAGAGGGAAATGAGAGATTCATTTCAATTTCTTCTTGCAAAAACTATGGTTCGTAATCTAACATCTTCTTACATATGTATATGTAACCTCCCGGTTAGCTCAATTGGTTAGAGCGCTGGATTGTTGTGCGGGAGGTCGAGGTCGATGGTTCGAGCCCCGGCCGGACCAACACTCAAGGTCTTAAAATAACTGAGGAGAATGCGCTACCTTTCTATAATATCAAGAAATGGATAGACATTCTAGTCTTCTCGGATAAGGACGAATAAACCGTAGGTCCCGTCTCCTGCATCTATTAATTAGTTAATTTGGTTAGGCAGGGGACGTTAAAGAACCCACTCACGAGATTACTGTGATGTGGTCTGGCCTGTTTACTGGGAACTGGGGGGAGGGGGCATCTTCAAATACGTTTCCTTCGATTGTTTGTAAACTGCTGATGCAGTCCGGCCAAAGTCCCCCGAAAAGTGTTGTGATGCGCATTTGATCATATCCACATGTTAATTTGCGCAATATAAATATTAAATTATTATTATTATATTTCAAATTTTGTTAGACTTACCGTCCTCGTTTCAGCATGGTGAGGCTCTATTTTAACTACTTTCACTGCACAAGGATCTGCAATGTTTTTATAGTAAAAACACTTGTACACCTGTTAAAAAAGGACCAGTCGTTCATTAAAGGTTAAAAGTTTGCGAATATTTTAATGGACCAATTTCCACATTTTTCCAGGAATATATACATTTAACTTTGGACATACATAGGTGATTTGTTTCCCTCCCTGAAGAGCTCTATGCCAGTAAGATGACACTTAAATTTCTTTACATCACTGACGGTTTACACTGCTTTATTCAGTCTTATATTGAGCTTTCTTTAGAGGGACATATTTCAAATCTGTCCTTTAGCCATAGAGGTGAATCAAAGTACCTGTGAGTAAACGTTGTTTGTAAATCTTACAGCCTATTGCATAAATTTCGCTTACCTTGGCGCCATACTAATCTGAAATATATGACGGCTAACGTTGACTGCCTTTATTGACGATAAAACTGTTACATTTTCACGCTCAATGAATGAGAACTTGGCCATTATGACCTAAGACCAAGCCTCTTGGTAGAGAATAGACTAATTAACTGGTTGCTTCTCCGAGTTGTTCACCCTATTCCCTACTAAGGAACTTTCGCCAAGGCTTAAACCTTATTGCTCTTTTAGCATGATATAACGATAGAACTAGAAGTACCTTGCCGAATGCTCCAGCTCCAATGCAGTCTCCTAGCTCCCACTATTGAAAAAGCCAATAATGAATCATGTAAGTCAAATTATCTTGAGTTACTTTGGATACGAGTCAGCTGAGTGTGATTAGCAGCTTAGGTAATGGTCAGTTATCAAAGAGACCCACATGGGGCGCATTGATATCCACCACTTAGTTCATGAAAACTCGTAATCATGTTCACTGTTGTACCACAAAACGAAAACCCACATCCTAAAAACATGAGTCTCTCTTACCTCGGGTGTCCCAAACTTCAGATCTGAAAACGCAATGGAAGCATGAAATCATGTAGGAAATCAAAACAAAATATCTTGGTAACGACTGAATTGATGGCATTTTCGCCGCCAACTTTCTTATAACAGCACCAAGCCTATGTACGACTTCTCAATGAAAGATATGTTTTATTGAAAACCTTTTTATGAAGTTTTGATTTTTGATACTCTGCACTCAATATGTAAAATCATAGCGATTCGTTTTGCTCTATTCACTAACGTTCCTTGCTGTTCGTTAGCAGGTGCTAATCTTTGTCCTAAAAACTTGTTAGTTACTGTAATAAGAGTACTAAGATGAAAAATTACAACGCTGAAATGGAAGGAATAGTTTTTATAAAAAAAAAAAAAAAAAAAAATTCGCTACAACAAATACTGACAAATTATTAAAGTTAAAAAGCTGTAATTTCGCTATTAGATCTATTAAATCGATGTGGTTGTCTGCTTCACTCAATATTTTTTAAAAGCAAGACACTATGATGAATTCGAAGTTTAGATTTAAATTTCTGTTTCGATAAATCATGCAGTTAAAAGTTCTTAACTCACCACGTATAATAGCCCCGCGCCTCAGCAAATCTCTCTGAAATAAGTGTTTTTGTCAAGTTTAGGTAAATTCTAGATCTATTATCGTGTTTGAGCAAAACGTCGCGGAATATGAAATATGAAAAATGAGTTTCATAGTTAGACGTTAAATATATTCGGGTCTCAGAACATTTAATATGCTAAATTTGTATAAGGGGGCTCAAGAAATATGAATTCCTCACGGCGCAAGTGTATTCAAAGCTAGCATAAGTAGACATTTTACGAACTGAATAAAAACATTTTATAGTAGTTTATGAAATTCTAAGCTAGAACAATGGTGTCTTCGTGCCAAAGTGGTTTGTTCAATCTCAAACGATTTCGAAAAATGTTGATCAAAGTGTTTTCAAAGTAGTTCGGGTCGAGTCCTTCGCTCGTTGTATCAAGAAGCCGACTCATAGGCAACATGAATATAGCGTAACAATCATAGTAAGTGAAAAACAATGGTTCAGTTACACACCTTTAGATTTTTTGTTACCCCATGTACCTCCTCATCTACAGCTGAAAGCGCCGCAATGGAAGCATAAAAGTAAGAAATCAAAACACAATATCTTGGTTATGACTGAATTGATGGCATTTTCGTTAACTTTCTTACAACAGCACCATCGATTTATGTAAGCATATGCATGACTTCTAAAAGAAAGATATATTCTATTAAAAATCTTATGAAGTTTAGATTTTTGATACTCTGCACTCAATATGGAAAATCATAGCGATTCGTTCTTGCTTTATTCACTAACATTTCTTATGCAATGTTGTTCGGTAGCAGGTGCTGCCGTTTGTCCTAAAAACTTGTCAGTTACAGTAATAACAAAACTAAGCTGATAAATTACATCGCTGAAATAGAAGGAGTAGTTTCGATAAAGGAAAAAAAACGAAAACCCTGCTCCCAACAACAACTAAATGAATTGCTGAGTTGAGTAGCTATGATATTGCAAAAGATGATAGAACAGGAAAAAAAAAGATTAAATGCAAATGCAAATACGATTAACCCGTTTCTATGCGGACATTTTCGCCAGCAGATCAGGTAACTCAACGTAGTTGTCTGCGGTAATCAATATTGGAAGTAAGACGGTATGAAGTTTGACTTTCAATTTCTGTTTTGATAAATAATGCAATTCATTAGTTAAGCTTTCAACTCACCATAGAAGTGCTCGTCCAAATCTCTCTGAAATGAAATGTTACTTGTTAAATTTAGCAAATTCTATACATCTATTATCGTTTTAGAGCAGAACGTCCTGGAATATGACCACCGCTTTGAGAAAAAGTCACGTAACTGCCATGAGAAATGAGAGACATTTAAAAACACTGTTTGACACCAGTTGGACAATGAGGGAACTTTAGAAACTAGATTAAAGGAAAACAAACATTGAACCAAGATATTCCATGGTTGAAGAGCTAGGGTACTTCAAGTTTGAAGTGGTTTTCCACTTAATGTTAGGTGGGATAAAACCAAACATACCACTTCATGATTCCGCCGGGCCAATATTGAAAAAAGAAAATTCAAAATATGATCACTTTATTACTTTGGGTAGGTTATTTGAGTGTGATTTGTGATGCTGGTAATGGACACTTCGATGTCTATCTAGCACTGTTCAGTTCATGACAATTTGTAATAATGTTTACTGTTGTCTTAAAAAACAAACACACACACAATCTACTAACAGGCATTTCTCCTTGCTTTGTAGACCCTAGTTCTTGGACTGCAAACGACTGGGGCTACGATCGAAAGACAGCAAGAAATTAAATGAATCAGCATCGTGATGAACGGGTCACCTTATCGCCAGCGTTCCTATATCAGTACTATTAACTAATGTAAGTGCTTATGACTTTTGAAAGACAAATCATTTCATTGATAATCTTCTTATGATGTTTGGTTATTTAACAGTACTGTTATTTCAATCAAGAGCGCGCGTCGGATGTGAGAGGGCAAAAAGCCAACATAGCTTGTGTTGGCTTCTAACTAACAGTTGTTGTATCAAATTGTTCACGATGTTAATGTTGCCTAAACTCTCTAAAACGACCGGAAGTCAATGTTCCTTCCGACCGCCGAGACGGCAAGACTTAAATCACTCGACATGTGCCGATTACTTTACGACTGACCAAAGCTGATTAAAAAGTCAACGGCGAGGTAACAACCCGACCTTACAATTTACACAAAACACGCAGTATTTTCCAAGTAGAGAAATGTTAAGGATCACGAGATACAATACCTACCGAGCCCAAGTGACTTTTAGCTAACAGACAAATGAAAAAGTTGCGCATAGTTTGTTTGTGTTTTGTTTAATGGAACTGAACATGCAAATGATCGAGGACAGCCTTCGTTTAAAAATCCTGAACTAGATTTCTCACTCTGAGTGTAAGATTTACAAGTTACAAACTTGCTGAGAAAAGTATTCGGCTCAATCTTTAAAACTTGGTGGTTTTTTGCTCTTTTACAATGTTTTTCTGTGTGGTAAGTAGTGACTGAAAGAAATCAAATCGTATTACGATTACTCAAACGGACTTCAAAGATGAGCTTTCAGTTATGGTAGAAGTAAATCATATGGAAGGGAATCAAGTAGATGGCAGTAATGTCTGCCTGACAATTTAAGAAAAATAGCGGTTAGACTTTAAGTGTATTCAGGTCCCAGAACATTTAATATGCTCAATCTGTATAAGAAGGATCAAGACATATGAATGCCTCAAGGCGCAAATATATTCAAAGCTAACATTGGTAAACATTTTACGGGCTGAATAAAAACAGTTTCAGTAGCTTATGAAATTCTAAGCTACAACAACGGTGTCTTTGTACCAAAGTGGTCTGTTCAATCTCAAACGAAATGGAGCTAGGTTGAGTCCTTCGCTCGTTGCATCAAGAAGACTCGTAAGCAACTGGAGCATAGCGTAACAATTATAATGAGTGAAAAGCAATGGTTCAGTTACACACCTTTAGATTTCTTCTTATCCCATGTGCCTCCTCATCTAGGGCTGAAAGCGCAATGAAGCATAAAAGTAGGTAAGAAATCAAAACAAAATATCTTAGCGATGACTGAATTGATGGCATTTTCGCTAACTTTCTTACAACAGCACCATCAACCTATGTAAGCATATGTATGACCTCTCAAAAAAAAGATATATTCTATTAGAAATCTTATGAAGTTTAGATTTTTGATACTCTGCACTCAATACGAAAAATCATAGCGATTCGTTTTTGCTCTATTCACCAACGTCTCTTATACAATATTGTTCGCTTGCAGGTGCTAGTGTTTGTCCTAAAAACTTGTCAGTTACAGCAATGAGAGGCCCAAGATCTTAAATTGCATCCCTGAAATGGAAAGAATAGCTTCTATAAAGGAAAAAACAAAAACCCTCGTAACAACAACTAAATGAATTACTGACTTGAGTAGTTATGACAAACCGGGGAAAAAAAAGGAAGAAACGCAAATGTGAATATAATTAAGCGAACTATTTCTATGACATCTTCGCCATCAGTTCAGTTTGTAACTCGATGCTTGATGTAGTTGTCTGCGGCGGTCAAGTTTGGAAGTAAGACGTTATGAAGCTTAGCTTTCAATTTCTGTTTCGATAAATAATGCCATTCATTTGTTCAGTTTTTAACTCACCATAGCAGTGCTCGTCCAAATCTCTCTGAAATAAAATGTTACTTGTTAAATTTAGCAAATTCTATACATCTATTATCGTTTTTAGAGAAGAACGTCATGGAATATGACCACCGCTTTGAGAAAATGTCACGTGACGCCATGAGAAATGAGAGACATTGAGAAAAACTGTTTGACACTATTCTAACCAGTTGGGCAATGAGGGGACTTTAGAAACGAGGTTAAAAAAAAACAACAAAATTAAAGCAAGATATTCTATGGTTGAAGGGCAAGGGTACTTTAAGTTTGAAGTGGTTTTTCATTTAATTAGTTAAGGTTGGCTGGGATAAAACCAATCATATCACTTGATTTTTCCGGGTCAATATTGAAAAAAGAAAATTTATGATATCTTCATTACTCTGAGTAGGTTATTTGAGTGTGATTTGTGATACTGGTAATGGACACTTAGACGTCTATCTCGCACTGTTAAGTTCGTGAAAATTTGTAATAATGTTTACTGTTGTCTTAAAAAACAAAAACACACACACACACACACACACACACACACACACACACAGACACACAATCCACTGACAGGTATTTTTCCTTGCTTTGTTGACCCTGGTCCTTGGACTGCAAACGACGGGAGCTAGGATCGAAAGACAACAAGAAATTAAATGAATTAGCATCATGATGAACATGACAGATCACCTTTTCGCCAGCGTTCCTATATCAGTACTATTAACTAATGTAAGTGTTTATGACTTTTCAAAGACAAATCATTTTATTGACAATCTTTTTATGATGTTTGGTTATTTAACAGTTATTTGAAGAGCGCGTGTTGGATGTGAGATGGCAAAAAGCCAACACAGCTCGGGTTGGCTTCTAACCAACAGTTGTTGTATTGAATTGTTCACTTTAATGTTGCCTAAACTCTCTAAAACGACCGGAAGTCAATGTTCCTTCCGACCGCCGAGACGACAAGACTTAAATCACTCGACATGTGCATTACTTTACGACCAAAGCTGATTGAAAAGTCAACGGTGAGGTAACAACCCGACCTCAACATTTACACAAAACACGCAGTATTTTCCAAGTAGAGAAATTTTAAAGGTCACGAGATGCGATACCTATCAAACCGAAGTGAGTTTGAGCTCATCGAAAAAAGAAAAAGTTGTGCACAGTTTGTTTAGTGTTTTGTTTAATGAAACTGAGCGTGCAAATGATCGAGGACAGCCTTCGTTTAAACATCCAGAACTCGATATCTTACTCCGAGTGTAAGAGTTACCAGTAACAAACTTGCTGAGAAAAGTATTCAGTTCAATCCATGAAACTTCATGGTTATCCTGAAGTATTTTGCTTTCTTACAATGTCTTTCTGTGTGGTCAGTAGTGAGTGAAAGAATCAAAACATGTTACGACTACTCAAACGGACTTCAAAGATGAGCTCACAGGTAGAGGTAATTCATATGCGAGGGAATCAAGATAATGGCAGCAATGTTTGCCCGACAGTTTTAAGAAAAATAATTAGACTTTAAGTATATTCGGGTCCCAGAACATTTAATATGCTCAATTTGTATATGGAGGATCAAGAAATATGAATGCCTCAAGGCGGAGTATATTCAAAGCTTGCATTAGTAAACATTTTGCGGGTTGAATAAAAACAGTTTTAGTATCTTATGAAACTCCAAGCTAGAACAATGGTGTCTTTGTGCCAAAGGGGTTTGTTCAATCTCAAACGATTTCGAAAAATGTTGATCAAAGTGTTTTCAAAGTAGTTAGGTCGAGTCCTTCGCTCGTTGCATCAAGAAGCCGACTCGTTAGCAACTTGAGCATCGCGTAACAATCATAATAAGTGAAAAGCAATGGTTCAGTTACGCACCTTTAGATTTTTTGTTGCCCCATGTACCTCCTCATCTAGAGCTGAAAGCGCAATGGAAGCATAAAAGTAAGTAAGAAATCAAAACAAAATATCTTGGTGATGACTGAATTGATGGAATTTTCGTTAACTTTCTTACAACAGCACCCTCGATTTATGTAAGCATATGTATGACTTCTCAAAGAAAGATAAACTCTAGTAAAAATCTTATGAACTTTAGATTTTTGATACCATTTGTCCTAAAAACTTTTTTAGTTACAACAATAAGAAAACTAAGATGATAAATTACATCGCTGAAATGGAAGGAATAGTTTCTATAAACGAAAAAACAAAAACCCTCCCGACAACAAATAAATGAATTGCTGAGTTGAGTAGCTATGATATTACAAAAGATGATAGAACAGGAAAAATATGAATAAATTCAAATGCAAACATAATTAAGTTAAACTGTTTCTATGACATTTTCGCCAGCAGATCAGTTAACTCAATTTAGTTGTCTGCGGTGATCAATATTGGAAGTAAGACGTTATGAAGTTTAACTTTCAATTTCTGTTTCGATAAATAATGCAATTCATTAGTTAAGCTCTTGACTCACCATAGAAGTACTCGTCCAAATCTCTCTGAAATAAAATGTTACTTGTTAAATTTAGAAAATTCTATAGATCTATAATCGTTTTAGTACAAAAAGACATGGAATATGACCACCGTCTCTGAGAAAGTGTCTCGCAACTACCATGAGAAATGAGACATTTAAATACACTGTTTGATACTATTCTGCCGCAGTCGGACGATGAGGAGACTTTAGAAACGAGATTAAAAAAAATTGAATCAAGATATTCGATGGTTGAAGAGCAAGGGTACCTCGAGTTTGAAGTCGTTTTTCATTTAGTGAAGGTTGGCTGGGATAAAACCAATCATATCACTTGATTTCGCCGGGCCAATATTGAAAAATGAAAACTCAAGATTTCTTCATTACTTTGAGTGGGTTATTTGAGTGTGATTAGTGACGCTGGTAATGGACACTATCTAGTATTTTTGATTTCATGAAAATTCGTAATGATGTTTACTGTTGTCTTAAACACCCACACGTGCACACACACACACAATCTACTAACAGGTATTTCTCCTTGATTTGTTGACCCTGGTCCTTGGACTGCAAACGACGGGAGCTAGGATCGGAAGACAGCAAGAAATTATATGAATTACCATCGTGATGAACTGATCGCCTTTTCGTCAGCGTTCCTCGGCCCCATTAACTAATGTAAGTGCTTATGACTTTTCAAAGACGAAGTATTTCACTGACAATCTTCTCATGATATTTGGTTATTTAACAGTTATATCAAGAGCGTGCGTTGAATGTGACATGGCAAATAGACAACATAGCTCGAGTTGACTTACAACCAACAGTTGTTGAATTAAATAGACCAATTCCGATATGTTTTGCCGCTAGAGACTGGTAGTGAATTTGAACGCGAAAGCGAGGCTTAGGGGAATAGCGCGGGAATGCAAAAGTACTTGCAGATGTAAACATGGGGAGACCTTTTTCTGAATTTCAGCTTGAAATGGTGAAATATTGCTCAGTTGCGGTTTGTACCAACGGAACTCACAACAGTCCAGATTTGTCATATTTTTTGTTTCCAAGCAATGTCAAAATACGGAGAAAATGGGAAACTTTCTGCAGATGAGCTGACAATAAGTTCAAGAACCTGTGAGACCCACGAATTCGTTCTTTGCACTTCAAGTATGAAGATCTTAAAAAAAAACTTTCTGGTAAGTTATCAATCATAACAGGGGCTGTTCCAACAATATTTGATCCAAACAAAAGAGCTTCAAAAGAAAATCTACGGACAGAAAGGCTAGAAAAGCGAACCCTTCGTGTCCAGCACTCCGCAGCTTTTTCAGACCGATGAGCATCCGGCGAAAAAGAAGCCGAAAATATGTGACGAAGATATCACAGATGTTCCAGCGAGTGAAGCTCTGACAAAGTCTGTGGGATGTAAAAACTTACCTTACTGAATCTTTACTGACTATCTCACTGACTACACAGATCGAGTAGACAAAGTAGATGAATCTCATAGAAATGTGATGTGCCAAACTGATCTTACGATGGGAAACTTTGAAGCGATGGCAGAAGAACTATAAACACTCAAAGCTAAGCTTAATTCAAAATTCAAACAAGAAAAAAAAGTAGATAACTCAAAAAAACGACGTAAAATGGTGATGGAAGACGTTCTCAACAGCGATGATTCAGTGAAGTTTTCTACTGGGATTCCATCACTTGCATGCTTCACGCTACTTTTAAATACATTATTGCCATGCAGAAAACATGAAATACTGGGATAAAAATAAATGCCAGCTGTCGAACTACCAGAAAAATCTGAATTTAAACAAGCCTGGCCGTAAACGTTCTCATCAGGCTAATGAAGAGCTTGTATTTATATTGATGAGGCTAAAATTGGGACTTACAGAGAGGCACCTTGCTGATGTATTCTCTGTAACTAAGAGCACAGTAAGCCGAGTTTACATAACCTGGATCCATTTCTTAGCTCTCACTTTCAAGGAGTCATTACGTCGCTGGCCATCAAAAGAAGAGGTCAGGGTGCATATGCCTTCTTCTTTCTCTAAATACCCTGACACTAGAATAATATTAGACTGTAAGGGGTTCTTTATTGACTGAAAAGCCCTCTTCTCCAAGTGCCCAAAAGGCGACTTGGAGCGACTATAAACATCACAACACTAAAACTCTTGGTTGGTATAACACCATCAGGGGCTTTTTCTTTTGATTTAAAGTTATGGACAGGGAGTACAAGTGATCGATGTGTAACCCAAGAAAGTGGCTTACTTGATCTTCTAGAGGAAGGAGACCATGTTATGGCAGACAGAGGATTTACTGTGAGAGATCTCCTTACTAAGAAACGAGTAAAGCTTAATATACCACCCTTCACTAAAGGTAACACTTCAACAGAAAATGAAAGCAGTGCAGGCATTATTTAAAAAACATAAATAAGCTATTAAAAAACTGTTAATTCTGTCAGGTAAGCAGCTGTCAAGAAAAGCACACAAGCAAACTAGCTCAATTGCAAAAGTCCGGATCAATGTTGAGAGAGCCATTGAACGAATGAAGGAGTTCAGGATCCTGCAAGGGAATATTCCATTGTCAGCAGTCAAGAATATGGATCAGGAAGTCACTATTTGTGCTGCATTGTGTAATCTCTTTCCTCCACTTGTAAAGTAATACACTAGTGTTGAACCTAGTGGCCCACACAGCTATCAATGGGTCTTTAAATGTGGGAGAGTATTGTTTTACTTAGGGAAAACAGAATCAACATTGCCAAGCGATATAAGACGAAATGAAATAACCTTAATTTAAACTGGGAAAACTAGAAAGAAAGTCATGAAAGTTATGAAACAGTTAGGCACAATCAATTTCTGGCCTAAAAAAAACTTTACTACCTTATTGATTAGTAACAGAGACCAAACATTTTGTGCAACAATTATTTTGCTATTCTATACTGTTATTAATCTGTGCAGCAGATCCAAGAAACTTTATTGTCGAAGGAAGGGGAATGTGAGAGCCAGAGCCAGAGCAAGAGCCAACCATTACTTTTAACAGGTGTTTTCTTTCCATTATCTTTATCCGTGTCATAGGTAATAGTTGGCTAGATATACAAATCACAAGAATGTACAAAGTATCAGAGTACTATTGCAGCAATCACACAATTTTGAGTTGGATGACATTTCAGACATCAGTCAACACTCAAAATTCACTTACAGGTGATAAAAACACAAGTGTCTTGTTATTCGAAGATTTGAATCAATGATTCAAGCTGAAATATTGACAAATGGAGATTATTTCTTGACCAAAAGGAAAAAATTAAGTAAATGCATGTACAAGCTCGACTAGTTCTGCTTTACGTTTCCCACGACCTTGGTCAGAAACTTGTATTCCTCGCTTTGTCAAATACTCTTTCAACCAAGCAGCATTTCTACCTTTGAATTGCTCCGCCATCTTAAAAACTATTCCCCTAACAACAACAACAACAACAACTTTATTTTTTTCACCCCATAATATACAAGAAAGAAAAATTTATAATAATATAGTGCAGACAATGATAGGGGCACTGGCTGCCTGAAACAACCTAAGAGTTAAAAATGCCAAGCAGCCAGTTAAAAGAAAAGATGTTTAAATGTTTTGATCAGGGACACAAAAACAAAGAAACAAAGAAACACAGAAACACGCACAAAAATAAACTACCAGTATATTATAGAGACTAAAATTCATACATTGCAAAACAGTATTATT